GAATCTATTATGAGTAAAACTATGTATGTAGTTTATAAAAATATGTAGAACTATGAGTAAAACTGTTCTGAATTAACTCAAGTACTACTGTGCTGTAGTTGACCAAGTCGATGCGGCGTAGGTGGCTACACTATTTATAGAGTGCCAGGCGAAAATCCAAGGGGAAGGAAGGTTCCTTTAATAGGGGTTTTAGGAGACGGACCCTTTGCTGAAATATCGATCAGATTCGACTGACATGTAAATTCCACCGCATCCAACGATCGATAGTGGGTAAGTTGCCAGGTAAGTTGCCTTAGCTACCCATTTAAGTTTTGGGGTCCCGATTGTTATATGTTTGGGCGATGTATACCGCTTTGTATGTTGTGTTTGCGACGAGAGTAGCATATTGTCTGAGACTTTTCCGCTGAAAAACACAACCTATTTCAGAGTCAGGTTCATCTGTTTTTGTAGTGTTTTTAATTTATGGTCTAAGTTTATTTTCTCTCGCTAAGACTGACATACATGACATCTGCATAGAGGAATAACCGTATTCGCGTATGTCATTAACATAAAGCGAGAACAGTAGCGGGGAGAGCACGGAGCCTTGGGGGACTCCGGCGAAAATCCCACGCTTTGAGGATCTCGTTTTTCCCACTCTGACCGCGAAAGTGCGGTTTTCGAGGAAAGATGTAATCATGCCCGTTACATCTTGTAGGAGGGATCGTTTAACTTTGGAAATTAGTGTCCTGTGTGGCACTGCGACGAAGGCTTGTATTATCTCGAGGTAGATCACTGGTACAATCTGTGAAAGTAAGAGATCAGTGGAGATCTGCTGGGCCATACATAGTGCCTGTAGTGAGGCTGAATGCGCGTAATATAAATCATCGTATTGTGTATTCTAACGATCAAAAACCAATAATTTAAAAACGGAATGATAATATATTAGGAGAACGAGTTGGGAAACTTTAAATACATCTTGCTTCCTGCATTGATTATTGTCGTAAAATTGAAAGATATTGAAATATTATTGTAGTTAGCATAAAGCTTGAAAGTGAATGTTATTGAAATACCCTTAAACGAAAAACAATAAAGATATAAGTTGTGATACGAAAAACACCAGAACGTCGATTCAGTATAGCAGTTGAATGGCCACTCGTGTTTTGACTTAAAAAAATGGTGATCACTAGTTCGGCGAGCATCCACCAAGAGCGCTGATACGACCAGGGAACGGCTATACGCGCACGTTTTCTTGAGTCCCAAAATACCTACTCCCCACTCCTTTACCAACATTAGTTGAATAAATGATAGCAACGAAAGTCGTAGACAAAATCTTATAACTAGAATGTTCGATACCGTGTATTAGAAACTATGTTGCATCCGATAAGGAACAACAAATTTGTTGCAAAATACCTTTTAAACACCCCACTCTTCTCGCGAAGCGAGGGCTCAAGAAAACTTGAGCGGATAATAGTATATTTTAGTTCGTTGGCCGTCTCATACTCTTTGGAGAGGAGCACTGCTGTCATGGATTAACGTGCACATGGATGAGGATGAATGAAAAGTTTCCGGCAGGGTAGGGAAACTTGGCGGTCAAAACGGGGTAATGATTTTTGCGCCATCTACAACAGTTCCGACGGACGAACTCAACGTGTGACGTCATGCAATGTCAAAAAGTGGCAATGTAGGCGCGGGTTTGTTTTCGTTATCGTGCAGGTTTGCAAGCAGGTAGGTCTCATTTTGAATCGAATGTTTTCAGCGATTGTTAGTATGTAGAATGCGTCATTGTAAGTAAAGTGAATTATGTCCGATATTTATTTGTCATGTCTACAACTTTTGTTTTCAGTAGTTTTGCAGATGATATAAGAAAACTGGTGCAGACAAGTACATTGTTAGGCATTTCACCCTACCACAGTGGAGGTATTTATAATCATTTTGGAAGTTCTTGTTGCATAATGTAATGAATTATTTAATTTGTGAACATTTTACACCATGCAAAATTAGTCTCTAAAAAAATCCGTAAATCCATGGTAGTATGAACCTAACTGCTTACATGTCATTTATTCTGTTCTATTTGTGTAAAAGTATTGTAGTTATATTATTCGTTATGATATTGGACACGTTTTGTAATATGTTCATGGATATTCCATATATTCATGTTGCAATAACCCTGGTATTCAAAATGTCTAATTTCAAAATATACATAATTCATTATGATTTGCTATTTCTAGAAATAGCGTCACTCCATTAATGTATGATGAAAATTAATTAATTTATTCGCTTAGGGGAACGAGTACGTTTCCATTCTGGGAGGTGATTTAGAGTTGGCAGTATGAACTGCAAGATACAAATGATTCGACTTCACTAACATTCAGAAGATGAATTGTATACAACTACTGTTTCCTACAAGCCCAGCCCTGGTTTCTTCTCAAAGAACATCAGAAATCTTATTACAAGTGTGGCAGGGTGAAACTTTTTTCCCTTGATGGCTGGCAAGTGCTGCTAGTCCGATATATAGGGACAAATATATTGTTCAGCAATATATATTTCGAATAATAATTGCCTTGTTAGAAAGAACTTTCCTAACAAGCACTGAATATATATAATGAAATATCAAAACCATTTTGAATGTGAACAATTTAAAAAACTTTCGTTTCGAATGTATAAAAAAAAACTGTGGTACATAATAATATACTTAAATATCTAACATTTATTTTAAAAATATTAAGATAGGTAAATAACTTTTTTGGATATTTCACAACTTCAGTGCTAAGAAAGGTTAATATATTATAGAGTGATTTTTAATTAAATGTAAGCCAAATTTGAATGCTAAATGAAACATCTGAACAATAAATCCTGTAATAATATTATTGATAATATAGTAAAAATCTAATCCAATTTTCTACTATACCGTCAAATCTGTCAATTCCGTCAACAATTTCGTAATTGGTTCTCTGCCCATGTGTAGGTTTCAATGAGGATAGTTTGGTGTGTGGACTTTGTGAAATATTGTCATGATGTGCAGTAACCAATCAGGTAGCGCATAGAAAATAAAAAAATCGTGTATTTGCTTGCCTAAACAGAAAGTAAATCTGTGCCAGTTATTTATTTAAAGTTAAGAATTGCCTAAAACTAGGAAACTACTGCTAGACTGCTAGAAACTGCCAAATTAAAATGTTATATCTTCCACAAATTTCATTTCATAAGATTTTTTGTAAAACATGCAAATCCTCTTAATCCAGAACACTAAGCATGTTTACCGATTACTGACTACAAGACGAATCAACTTGCCAAACCTAAAACAGTATAATTTATAAATTTGTTTCATTTTCCTTGGTTTTGAAAGACTTACCCAAAAATAACAATGATTGATATTGTATCAAAATTACAATTCTTTTTCGGCTATAAAGTCACAAAAATTAAGGCTGTATGATTTCAATCATGATTTATAACAAATGATAACTTTTTAAAAATCATTGATTTAAGTTATTTTTTCAAATATTTACAAATATAAGTTACAGAGATGAAGACTTAAATCAATTACATAGTTAATACAACGAATATCATATTTCTTAAACTTTTTCACATAATTGAAGAATTTCGAGAAAAAAAATACAATGTAATATAACATTAAAATGAGCATGCTTATGAAATGAACAATAAAACACTTTGTAGTAGTTTTTACTAACGGACTTGGATGATATATATAGTTTTTATCTAGCATTTCATTGTCTGTAGATAATAGCAAATTTTAGAACAATACACACACCGAGCTGTTTAGGAAAAACACGATAAATCTTCAAGCATATTTGTAATTCTAGATTTGGAGTAAAATGTTTTGCTAATGCCACCAAGTATTAAATCTAGAGAAGAATAAGCATTAAAAAAATGAATTTTATTGATATCCACTTAAGAAAAAAAATTAATATTGTAAAAACTAATAAAACGAATTTAATCTACAATTTTAATAATGTTACCTTTTTCCTTGTGTATATGTAAAAATACATTTAAGTGGGAAGGAACAGGACAACTATTAAATAGAATTTAATATTTCAAAAAACTGTCTAATATTGTGTAAGTTTTTTTGTGAAATAATTGTTTTTAACAGTAAGAGGATTTTTTTGGATAAGAATGTCTTTTTCAGACCATGCTGACAGGTGTTGCTACAAGCTATTCCATAACGTGAACACATGAGAGTGATGAAACTATAGTACTCACATTTAAAGATTTTGTGGGTAGGCAGTATTGCACCAGACCTCAAATGTATAGATCTATGTGAAAAAAAAACAACTAAAACAAACAATAAGGAAATGATCAATAAAACTTCATGTTTTCACTTTTTTCTGCTTTTAAAGTAATTAAGGATAAGTAAATACTTACAAGTTTTAAGTATAAACATCTAATACAATATTTAAAAATATTATTTAAATCAAGTTAATCTGAATCATAAGAAAAGCAGATAAACTCTGAAATAATCTCTACACGCGCCACAATTAATTCGCACAACTTACTTTGAAAATGCGCGCCAAAACGCAACAGCTGCGCTATCTGCACAGGTCCGGGTGAGTGAGGAAACAAACTTAGTCCCCCGCCTTTTAACATTGAGTGAACCGGCCCTGGTTTCCGGGATGCATAAACGGTAGTGTTTGAATGTAAAAAGTAAATTTCAATTTCACTCTTCAGAAAATAAAGGAAGTATGCTTTGAGTGAACAGTGCTCTCCGGTCTGAATCTTATTGTACCGATTAGCTGCATTGATGTTATCAATAAAGTGCCCCATTCTATATTATTGTTCTTTTTGGTTATGGTTGTCAGACACAGTAAAGACGTCATCGGCAAGGAAAGGTGGGAGTGTAACAGTCTTGATTCATTTTAATTTCTGTTATTAATATTGACAATAGATAATTAATTGCACCGTATGTTCAGACTTCATAACTTGTTTTTATAGTCGCTTTTGGCGCGCTCATACTTTCACAATATTAAATTCACTCCGAATCGAAATACCATAGCTTGGATTGACAAACAATGGCAAATGATGCCCGGAATAATCATTATGAGATTAAAGACGAGGTGTTTGTGGATGAATATTTCCATTCTTCACCGAATATCATTTACACACCAGTAAACATCCCAGGGCCGGGTATTGAAGTGGAAGAATTTGAAAGTCAACTTGTAGGTGGCTGCTCTTGTGGTGATGGACAGTGTTCTCTGGAGGCAGAGTGTGAATGTATTGCTAAATATGGAAAAACTTACACTGAGAAAGGGAAATTTCTAAATAAAAATTGTGAAAGGCCGATTATAGAATGCAATTCCTTATGTCAGTGCAACAAAAATAAGTGTAGCAATTGTATTGTTCAAAGGGGTCCATTACAGACTTTGGTAGTTTATGAAAGTACTAATGGAAAAGGAAAAGCATTAAGAGCTACATCTGATATTGAGCGAGGTACTTTTGTTTGTGAATATGCTGGTGAAGTTATAGGTGTGGAAGAAAGCAGTAGACGAATGAAGTTGCTAACTGCAAGTGATATGAATTATATTTTTCACTTGAAAGAGCACTTAGCCAATGGTTCGATAATTCATACATTTATTGACCCTACATTCATTGGGAATATAGGCCGGTACATTAATCACTCATGTGACCCTAACTGTTTTGTGGTGCCAGTTAGAGTTAATTCTTTTGTGGCCCGATTGGCCATATTCACGTCCTCTTTTGTACCAGCTTCTGAAGAATTAACATTTGATTATGGGTCACTGAACAGAAATTGTAGTATATCTGGGGCAAGTGCCAAGATTTGTCTTTGTGAAAAATTTAACTGCAGAAAGTTTTTGCCATGTGATTTGTAATGTGTGTGTGTTTTTTTTTGTTGTTTTTTTTTTGACACTATTCATTCTAGTTATTATTCCAATTCAATATATTTGCAATATAAATGCAAAGGATTTGTAAAAAAATAAATCAATAAAATAAGCTATTTGCAGAGAATACTTCACAATTTGTTTTTTCTGTTTTAACTAGTATTTCTCATTGTACTTTTGATTTCAGAAAAAAAAAATTATAATGTCTTCAATAAATAAAATAAATATGTATTAAGTTCAGAAATTAATAAAAGGGAATTAAAAAAGACCAATTTAATGCAAACTAATTGCTTGTTCAGGCATACAAATAACAAATTGAACAAATAAATGTGCTTGTGTTATGATAGTTAAATAAGCAAGTTTGGTATTTGAAAGGCTCATGAGAGTTTGAAAATTTAAAAAATAAATTCAATGTTGTGCATTCAAATGAAACAAACATTAAATGGATAATTGAAATGGAGTGAAAATAACTTATTTGTTAATAATATTATTAATTATTATCCATTCTAAAGGTTCCAATTGCTAAGGGTAAAAATGTAACTGAAGACCTTTAGTCCAATGGCTAGGGATAGCCTGTCATCACAATAAAAAAACCCTGATGGATTAAATGAAATATGGTTTTGAATCTCAGTTCAATCTTATTTCAGACATGCTGAATTTTTAACAGAATTAGAATATTAATTTATTCTTTGTTGTTTCCGTAATGTCCTTTCAGAGATATGTATATGGCTTTCTAATTATGTCTTATTGATGTTTTCTCTAATGCATTTTTTTAGTCAAACTCATATGTAGAAAATAAAAGTTAAGAAAAAACTTTATTACTAAACTGTTGTTTGTTTGTTTATTTATTGTCACTTTGTTAAAAATTACACATTTGTAACCCGAAATTCTTTGTACTGCCTTCACCAAACATAGAAACTAGTGAAGGATTGATTCTATATTTTTTGACAAGGGAGCAAAATAAAATTATTACATAATGTCTCTTTTTCTTTTAATTATCTTTATTATTGATTGCTACTATTTCCTCCGTCATCATAATATTATTCAATATAAGCACACGTAATAATATCTCTATTATTTAATCCTCATATTTTCAGGACCACCTCTTGTACAAAATAGGAGTTTAGGCAGGACCAGATTTCAAGAATCAGGACCACTAGACAATCAACAGATAGGGAACCTTTTTAGTAATAGAACTAAAACCAAATCTGCTGCAATTACAAATAATTTCTTGCTTTATTTGTAATGGTTACAAAATATAACTTGAAAATACATATGTAATTTTTGAAATATTAGAAGATAAATTTTTCTAAAATAAAAAGAGAGGCTGAAAAATAAAATAAAAATCAATTATAATAGAAACAACAAATTTAAAACTTTTATCTTTATAACTAAAAAATATCAGCATCGCACAGGCAGTGTATAGCCCCCTGGAAATTTCAAAAGGGACCCTGCATCTCTACATAATTAAAATAGTTTTTGCATAAATGTGATTAATATCTAATTTTCCCATTTTTAAGCTGAGAATTATGGGAATTGATACACTACATTCGGAAAAGAGGCACTTCTGACCATCTGGCAATCCTGTAAATAGTCCAACATCAAAATATTATTTATTAAACAATTATTATCATCATTATTAAACTTATTCATTCATTTTCCTTGTATATTTCATTTATTTCCTAGTCAAATATATCACATGTAAATAAAAATGCTTAATGGGAAAGGTCAGTGAGGGTGGATCAGAAATGTAGTTCCCTTGTTTTAGGTTGTTCATGCCTATGGATAACATGAAAATCATTATTCATTGCATTTAGCAGTGGTGCAATGAAGTAGGAACCTCGTGCCTCCCCACAGAAATGAATGATACATTTTCAAACTAGCGGTTGCTACAACAGCATACACTTTCTCACATTTTTTTTCTAACTTTTGCAATTTTTTCGAAAATCACACCTGCGCCACATTTTAAGAATACTTTACTACATCCATGGAAAAACAAATTGGACTCATTCTTTGGGAAATATGTGTGTGTGTGTGTGTGATATTATATATATATATATATATATATATATATATATATATTATATATATATATATATATATATAGAGAGAGAGAGAGAGAGAGAGAGAGAGAGAGAGAGAGAGAGAGACAGAGCTTTGCATGTATTCAAGCATATATAACGTACGGTACACACAAACTACTCTTTTTTCTCTCTCTCTACCTCCCTCACCCCCCTTCCGTTTTGCCTTCAATCGCTTTTTTGGTATCAAGGGCCCACAAAACACGGATTTTGGCCACAAATGAATGATTAAAGGGAGTAATTTACTATATATAGGAAGAGGATTTATCTATTTCTTTGTTACGAGGGCTCCACAATTAGAGCTTTTCTCCAAATTTCGCCGTTTTCCGGTTACCTTTTATACTTACATACGCATAGGTGTAAAGAGTAAAAAAAATATGTTAGGAATCAAAGGGAAGTAAATTATTAACTCAAAATAATCATTTAAAACTGACCTATAGAGTAGGTAAGAAACTTTAAATATCTTGAATGTGTTATACCGTCCTTAAACACAATAATATGCAAAAGAAAATAGAAATATTTATATATTTATTAAATATAAACTATTTCTTCATGTCTTCCGGGCTGATGGGCCGTGGTCCAATTGGCTCTGGGATGCCAAACGTTTCGCCCACGACTGGGGTGGGCATCTTCAGTGGCGAGGTCTCGGGCGAAGCTAGGATTTGATCTCCCACCCTTCTAAACTCAAATCTTTGCGACGACTACGCTATCGCAAATGTTCGCCATCGCAGTGTTTAGGAGAACTTATTACAAAAATAATATTTACGTGATAATCTAATTATATTTTGAATGTAATACTAGAATATACAGAATCATGCATAAATATTAAAGACGGCCTATGGGCATTACATTACTATGTCCTATGAGTAATACATTACACTGTTCTATGGGCAATACAAAAAACTCATAATATATCATTAAAATGAGAATTTAACTATGTATTTAACTGCACTTTACACAGACTGTGATAGCTCAGTGTCATTATTTGTTGTATCTGCAGCTTCGCTGACCGGGAAGTCCTTGGGTTCTAATCCCGACGGAGGGGGGTGTTCGACTGTAATTACAGATCTAGGTCGTATTTAGTTAAAAACTAAAAGGACTAGAATTTCATCTGTCGGCTGCTCTGATGAGTAGTTTTGCCTGGTTTCGCGCGCGATCTTTCCTTGCCCATTCTTGCCCCTCCCCTTACTTGAACACACACAAACTTACATACACAACTCTACCACCCATGACATGAGACCAGTCAGGGGCTTAGCTTTAGCTATTGTCCCGGCTTGTTGCATTGCTACACAATTCGCTTCCTACAGAGAGTGTCAGTCAATTCTAGAGCGTCCTGGTCCTACGCCTCTTAGTTCGGTTCTATTCCTTTCGGAGGCGGGAATTATGTTGGTACATGGGCCGCCAAATTAATTCAAATTTGGCACTTCGCTTCGAACAGTTCAGTTTTTCTGATGTTTGAAGGCATTTTAGAAGATCATTCATTTCAAACTTCCCGCCGCGAAGATCGCGCAGCGTCTAATCTTGCTCTAAAAAATCGAGCGAATTCCTTGCCAATTGACCAAATACACATTTTTGTACAAAGCTCTTTGAAATCGATTTTCACCTCCTTTGGAAAATCACTAATAAGTTGCACCACCTGCTGGTCGGCCGCGACGAAAGAGTTGCTCATTATAAGATTTCCTGGAATCCAATTTTTTTCACATCAGACGCGACGAGCTCGCATTGGCTGAAATTCAGAGGAGCCGCGACCATTTTTGTAGCCATCGTGCCGAGGAGCACGCATTGAAAGTTTGTGGTACGTTAGCACGTACACTGAGACGCGGAACGAAAATGCAGGAAGCATGAATGACGTGAAATTCGTAAGGCGAACGTTCATTTTCGTCCAGTCAGAGGTAGTCATGACAATTTCTTCAATACTTATTAAATCTTTCGGTAAGATAATAATCTTCGTCAATTATGAGTTACTTTTTTCTCAGAATTTTCTCGTCTGATAACACAGAAAGCGATTGCAGTTTCTGCTAATGCTCTCCCATTTCATCTAAGCAACATTTCGCAGCTTCAACAATGGTACCCGAGACGGGGAACAACAAGTTGCGCTGACGTGTCGTAGTAAAAATATTCTGTTTTTATAAGTATAGTGGTAATTCATATATAAGGTTATAGGCTTTAAGGCTAAATGTCCCGACACTAGTACAATTTGTGGCCACCACGTGGCAGCACCCAAAATAAGTAAAAGTAAATTTACTTACCGATAACGTGCTGAACCAATGGTCCGATTTTCCCGTCTGTAAACGGCATGTGACGCCTTTTTCTAAAATAGAATTTACGCACGAAGCCCCTTTTTCCAAAAATCTAGAAAAATCCTCGAATTGACAACTTAGTCCTCAAACTTCCTGAGGAAAAAAATTAAAAATGTGGTTATAGCCGATGCGAATGCTTCCTGAACACAACGCCGTGGACAATCCATGCCACACATCGGCACAATAGAGGCGTTATCTT